TGTATATATATATGTATATGTGTGTGTGTGTATGATATATATAGCCCAAGGCATACTTCCCCATAGATTTCCTGTAGACCACTTATCCTGTTATATCCAAAATTAGATTTATTAGGCTCACTCACTATAAAATCTGTTCCCCCACCTGTGTTTTCTCTTCTGGTGAAAAGAAACGTTGCCCACTCAATGAACCACGTCAATGTTTTGAAATTGTTTTCATGCCAGCTTCCTACTTCTCTGCAGCCCTATATTCAATTTATTATCAAATCCTGGTAATTCTAGTCCCCTTAATATGTCAGTCATGTCTCCTGTCCTCTAATACTCCTATCACCACTTTTTTGGTCCTTCATTACTTCTTGTCTCATTTGTTTCAGTAGCCTCTGAATGTTCTTGTTTTCCACCTATTCATCAATGATATTAGCTAACTGTGTGGCCTTTAGCAGATGTCATCATGGTTCTAATAGTAGGTCTTTCTTTAATCTGGATATTTCAACTCCAGATAATTTTGTCTGTTTATATTAGACACAATATATGAAGACATACTCATTGACTTTATAATGTTTGTTTGTATTCAAATATATTCATTCACACACTAAGTGATGAGCAAAAATCTTGTGCTAAAGCTCTGGCCATACAATTCATCAGCACATACTCTGAAAACTAGAATATAGAAGAACTGTGTTGAAGTAGATTATTTTTAAATGTCAGAATCAATCAGGATTCTAAAACTCACTTCTTAATAATGCTTTTATAGATTTTTTTTTGTTGCATGACAGAACAAACTGCATATCATATATCAATTGTAATATAGCACTTGACTTCCTTAATGCAATACTTAACTGTAACTCTATAAATACAAATGAGGTGTTTCAACATGAAGATACTTTAGATAGATGGCAGTTTCTATAATTATAGCACCATCACACACGCCTTAGTCACACTTACAAGGTACAGTTCCAACTGTTCCTATTGTTGGGAAAGTAATAATAACAATTATAATTGTACCATGAAGTATTAAATTCTGTACACTCAACTTTAAGGCAGCTAAAATAAAAATGAAATAGAGGCTGAACATGTAAAATACTTATAATATAAACACATACATTACATAGAGGCACTAAAGAGGAAAGAAAGGTATTGTGGAGTATTTAGTGTCATTCTTTCCAGATTCTCTTTCTGACACTAAAGATGGTGAGTTTCTAAATAAGGTAAATATAACTGGAAAAATGCTAGTATGTCTTCACTGTTCCCATTTGAGATGCCTGACCATTTACATCTGGGGGACAGTACTTACCATCATCACGCAGAGTGAGTGGTGTTGGGGGACTAAGGACTCGAGCATTCGTCACTGTGTTTTTCACCAGACAAATATAGCTTCCAACATCTGACGCTTGCACTTTAGAAATATAAAGGTTGCCTGTCTCCTGGGAAATGAACCGCCTGCTGTCTTCCACCACAAAGGAGGGAAATTCATTAAATACCCAGCTGTAGATGATCTCTGAAAATAGACAAAATGCAGTTGTTGGTAGACATGAATTATTTAACAGAGAAGGCTCAAATGACAAACCTTTTGCCTACTAAGCATTAAATGTACTACAAGGTCCTGCATATTTGATCCAATTACCCATAAAATTTAATATATTAAAATAATTATTCTGCATAATGAATACAAAGCTCTGAAATATATCCTGAAGTAGTTAAGCATTCATTCATTTACTCTTCCTTCAATTCAGTGTGTACTGAAATGATAGCCTCTTTCATAAATGGTGTTGGAAAAACTGGATTTCAGCTTGCCAAAGATTAAAACTAGACCCTTATCTTTCACCATGAACTAAACTAAAATCCAAGTGGATTAAAGATCGAACAATTGAAAAAGAGACACTAAATTTGTTGAAAGATAGGTTAGGCAGAAGTCTTGAAGACATTGGCAATAGGAAAAGACTTTAAAAACAAATCCTCAGTAGCACGGGAACTAGCAGAAAGAATCAACCACTGGGATTTTATCTTACTAAAAAGCTTCTGCACTGCAAAAGAAACCATCAACAAAACTAAGAGACAACCTACATTGTGGGAAAATATTTACCAGCTACTCCTCAAACAAAGGACTATTATCTAGAATATATAAAGAAATTAAAAAACCAGCCCCCCCAATGTAAAGACCTGATTCAAAAATGGGTATCTGAAATGAACAGACATTTCTCAGACAAAGAAATAAAAGCAGCAAGTAAATATATGAAAAAATGTTCCACATCACTGGTCATTCGAGAGATGCAGATGAAAACAACACTGAGATTCCACCTCACCCCACAAAGAATGGCTGCTATCAAGAAATCA